TCTTCTTCTTCTTCTTCTTCTTCTTCTTCTTCTTCTTCTTCTTCTTCTTCTTCTTCTTCTTCTTCTTCTTCATTTTTGTCAATGAGATCTGCCTGCCCACCTTAGCATAAGGTTGCTGGAGGGACCTGAAGATCTCCCAGAATTACAACTGATCTCCAGATGACAGAGATGAGCACCCCCGGAGCAAATGCCTACTTTGGAGGGTTGACTCTCTGGCATTATACCCCAGTGGGGTCCCTCCCCTCTCCAAACCCCACTATCCCCAGCCCCCCCCCCAAATCTCCAAGAATTTCCCAAGTTGCAGTTGGGAGCCCTACGGTAAAACCCCCACGGCTGTTCTACTCTCCAGCTGTGCCAACAAGCCGTCAAACGTGGGTAAGGCAAAAGCCAGCGAGTTGGTGCCTGTAGTCGGATTAAGTATTCCCGTCTCCTTGCAGATTGACGAAATGAACATCTACGGGAACACCGCGCTTCACATCGCTTGCTACAACGGGCAGGATTCCGTGGCCAACGAGCTGATCGATTACGGCGCGAACGTCAACCAGCCCAACAACAGCGGGTTCACGCCTCTGCATTTTGCGGCGGCTTCCACTCACGGAGCTCTTTGTCTGGAGCTGCTGGTGAATAACGGGGCAGATGTGAATATTCAGGTAAAGCGAGACGTTCCCCCTGACTGAGGCCTACAGTTCATCTCTGCCTTGATTTAAAACTTCTGTTAAACCACAAGGGGTGCTGAGACAAGATGATGGACGGATACCATTTTCACATGATGTTTTTGTAGCTGGGCACAGATACGGAAGTGCGTGATGTGTATCAGTTTTGAAGGGTGTGTAGGAAATTTTCCATTTAGAAAAAACCTGTCGCTGTTTTGACTTGCTAAATACTTTTCCTTTTTAGACTGAGTCATTATCCATTTTTACAGATCGGTAACTGAGACACAATGCCTTCCGACGAAGCGTAACGGAAACACCCTGGGTGCCTTTTAACCTGGCAAATGGGAGCAGTTCAGATATTGGGCTGCATCCAGTACGAAATTTCCGCTTGTGCTACAGCTCTTGCGCAAGCAGAAACGCAAGAAAAAGATTTTGGCGGCTGCTTGCACTAAGTCAGTCTTACTCTATCCCCGCTTGTGTTTCTGCTTACACCAGATCTTGTAATCTACAACAGGAGGACCACAGTGTAACAGTTAAAACTATCTCTTATGTTCTTATGTTCTTATGTTTGTATCGTTAACTTTATATAAATCAAAATTCAAACACAATTAATAAAATATATGTGAGAGGTTAAATATCTTATTAATTGTATTTGAATTTTGATCTATATAAAATTAACAATACAAACATAATCCAGCACAGTGCTGTAGTTTTGTAGTACACTAGATCTTGGGCAAACAAAGTCTGGGCACTATAATGTGTAGGGAGGGAAGTTCTAGTTGTCGCAGGAGATCTTGCGCAAGCAGAACTCTACTGCATCTCTGCACAGTACTGGATGGAAGCCATTCCTTGCACATTACTGGGTCCATTTGACTTTGGGAGCAGCATCAGCACGCTCGGAAATAAGGAAGGAGACCTTGGCCAAATAGATCAACAGAAAAGTAAATCAATGAAAGTGTCTACTTTAATGTAAGATCCCTATATAGGATTTGTTCCTGAGGAAAGACCAGAGGTCTGAAACACTTAGATATCCGGAAAAGTGTTGACTGAAAGAGAAACACAGGCTCACTGAACTTTGAGCAGACTGCTTCTGTGAATTTGAATAAGGACACAAGACTGTTATAGGGATATATACTGAGAGAGGCTTGAGCAGACTGCTATGTGAATTTCTGTTGACCTTTGTATTTTTTCTATGTATTTTTTCCTCCATAAACTAGGGTTGCCAACTCCATCTTGGGACATTCCTGGATATTTAGGGGCAGTGCTTGGGGAGGGAACTCAGCAGGGTCTGATGCCACAGAGCCCACCCTCCAAAGCAGCTGTTTTCTCCGGGGGAACTGATCTATGTAGCCTGGGGGGGGGGTCAGTTGTAATTCTGGGAGAACCCCAGGCCTTACCTGGAGGTTGGCAACCCCACCCTAACCCCATGTTTTTGAAGCTGAAGGCAATGTTGATTTCAAGTCCATTCTGCCCCCCCCCCAATATGGACTGAATCTATCCACAACGCTTTTTAAAAACCTGTGAACGGAACTCTGCAATCTGGAACGATCTGTACATGTGGACAGGCGTCGTCCCTAACGGGTATCTTCCAAATGAGCTTTAAACAGCTGTGCTCAAAGTTGTTCAGGGTCTTTTCTTCTTCTTCTTCCGTACTTGACAGAGTACAGATGGGAAGAGTCCGCTGCATATGACGGCAGTGCACGGGAGGTTCACGCGGTCGCAAACCCTCATTCAGAACGGTAAGACAGTCCTTTCTGATAACTTTATCTTTTCTGCTGCATTCCAGTCCTCTCAGAGGTTTGCTTGCCTCAGGAACAATAAGACTGATTTCCCACAAGCCGCCCAGCCGCCCTCGCTCTTCCCTTTCCCCCGACTGCATGCGTCAGTTTCCCACTATTTGTTGCACGGGCGCATTTTGACCCGCAGCTTCACCCGATTTCCCCCGCGTCTTCTCGATCCTCGGAAAATCCGGCGAAGCTGCAGGTCAAAATGCGGCCGTGCAGCAAATAATGGGAAATTGACGAATGCAATTGGGGGAAAGGGAAGAGCGAGGGCGGAGTAGCGGCTTGTGGGAAATCGGTCTGTTTTCCTTTCTGAGTCTTTATTTCCGAGCTCCAGACCAAAGGAAACAAAACTCGAAGATAAAACCACTCTAACGTTTGCATGTGCTAGTTTTAGCTTGACACGCAATGTTCCCTCTAAGCTGTGGAGTCTTGTGAGCAGAAATTCTACTTTGTGAACCTCCAGGTGGGGCCTGGGGAATCCCCTGGAATTACAGCTCATCTCCAGACTACGGAGATCAGACTACCCCAGACTACCCCTCCCCTGGAGAAAATGGATCAGCCTGGAGGGTGGACTGAATGCTGGCATTGTGCCCCATTGAGTTCCCTGTCCTCCCCAGGCTCCATCCCCAAATCTCCAGGAGTTTCCCGACCTGGAGATGGCAAGACTACCACCACCCCCCGCGCTGGGGGTGGAGGAACCTGGCAACCAGTGTTCCCTCTAAGCTGAGTTGGTGTGAGCTAGTTCAGTTTTTTCAGCTCCGGCTCACACATTTTTGTCCCAGCTCAGGAAGAATGGCTCCAGAGCAAACTTAATTTATGCAGCAGCCAAATCGCTCGCTCACCACTTGAAGGCCAGGAGCGCACAAAGTAGAATTTTTGCTCACAAGACTCCACAGCTTAGAGGGAGCATTGCCTGAGTGGCAACCTTATTTGCTAATATAACTTTCGTTAAAAATGCTTTTCTGTAATCTGAGAACCCTTCTCAGCCGTTCGATTCTTAGGGTTACCAGCTCCAGGTTGGGGAATACCTGGAAATTTACGGGGTGGAGGCTGAGGATGGGGAGGGTTTGAGGAGGGGAGGGTCCTCCGTGGGGTATAATGCCTTAGAGTCCACCTTCCAAAACGGGCATTTTCTCCAGGGGAACTCGTTAGTTGTTTTCCCAGGAGATCTCCAGCCACCACCTGGAGGTTGGCGACCCTAGCCATTCTGGCAATTGTCCCCCTTTTTTGCTACCTTATTTCATTGCACTGCTCCCATCTTAATGTATGTAAATGGGTGCTGCCGGTGAGTGCCAGGCAATCCATAGTCCATTTAATGGGATACGGCTTTAAACGGACGTTCGATAGATTCATGGAGGGTAGGCTTATCAATAATTACTCGCCATGGTGACTGAGGGGAACCTCGACATTCAGAGGCTGTCAACCTCTGAGTCCCAGAGCCAGGAGGCAACCTCAGGGGAAGGCCTCGGCCTCACTGTCCTGTTGTTGGCCCTCCAGAGGAACTGTTTGGCCACTGTGTGACACAGGATGCTGAGCTAGATGGACCACTGGACTGATCCAGCAGGGCTCTTCGGATATTCTTCTAGATAGATTCATGGAGGAGAGGTCTATCAGTGGCTCCTAGCCATGGTGACGGAGGAGAACCGCCACATTCAGAGGCACTAAATCTCTGAATCCCAGAGCTTGAAGGCAGTACAGTATAATCTTATTACCTGTCCACAAAGACCTACTTTCGATGGTAGATCTGGACAGCGGAGATAACAAAAATTAAGAGAATTACAGAAGAGAAAACAGGGAGTGGTACAGGACATTAAGGCAGCTCCAGGTTGACCTCTTCCCGTCTCGACGGATAATGTACCCCAGTGCCGGTTTTTTGCCCTTACTTCCACAGTGCTGCCTGAGTTTCCAATGACAGAGCAATGTGCAGCAGGATTATATTGTGTGACGCATTCTGGGTCAAATGAAGGGGCGGCAGCAGACACAGGGCTGCTGTGTGCTGGCAGCATCTTCAACATTTGCCATAATGACTTGGTCCACCTTCGATAAGTTATTTTCTTACAAAAGAGCGGATGAATCTGTGAAGGAAGTGCCAGATAATCTCATTTGCCTAGATCCGAAACAGAACAGTGTCACCCACCAGAGCGATTATGTTACCAGTTAAACGACACAGAATCGATAGGCAATGTCTGAATGTTTGTTGAGAAAGCTACGCAAAAACTGCCGAGTCAGATTTGCAGAATTGGCTGTAAATCATTACACATAATTACTGGTTCTAAAGGATCTTTGAAACCAGAAGAAATATTGCTTTTGGTTGCAAAGGGAGAGTTTTTGGAGGCGAATTCGCTGGCTGCAGCCGAAATAACATTGGCAATGAGTCAGAAAACCAAACACATTTCTGGATATCTGGACTGACTGAAAAGGAACGAAGGTATCATAGAGGCGAACAAACTTAGGTAACCCGCTTATATGAGAGAGGGTAACACTTCTTTTTAAAAAGCCCTTCTTGAATTGCATGGAAATAATTGTGTATATTTTGGAAGACTGTCAGGAAATACAGGGTCATGCAACCTGACTAATGGTTTCTGCTGTTGCAAGATGGATAATTCACAATTTGCAGAGTGAGACCTTCAGGGTTTTTTTGTATTGTGAAAAGTCTAAATATAACACATATGACCATCTTTGCTTTTGTTGGTTGGGGCTCGTGACAGAGAGACGTATACCTCGCAAATGCGGTAGCCCTGCGCTGTTCACGGATTCATGGCCTGCAGTTTTGTTTATTCGCAGTCCGTGATCCAGTCACGCGATGTGGTCCCCTGCCTATTTTTTTCCCACTGTTGTTGTTGTTAGCCACTCAGTCATGTCCAACTCTTGGCGGTTCCGTGGGCCAGCTCTCTCCACGTTTTCCGATCTTGTCCTGTTTCCTTGAGTCGTTCCATGCTCAGGCTGATGTCGGCTTTTGTGGTGCCTATAGCCACCGTGTTCTTTGGCGGCCCGGTTCCCTTTTGCCGCTAACCAATCCGAGCATAATTGCTTTTTTCTAGTGAGTCCTTCTGCATGACATGGCTGAAATAAATCAGTCGCAGTTTTGTGATTCTTCCTTCCAGTGGCATGTCTGGTTTTATGCGCTCCAATACTTGCTCATGTGTCACCTTTGCTGTCCAAGGAATACACAGGAGCCTTCTCCAGCACCACAGCTCAAACAATTCGATTTTCCTCCTGTCTTGCTTCTTCACGGTCCAACTTCCGCAGCCATAGGTGGCTATGGGGAATTTATTTATTAGTTTGATTTATATCCCGCCCTCCCAAAGGCTCAGGGCGGCTCACATGCGGCAAAGCCGAGTGTCGGCCCCCCCCCCCCCCCCCCCCGCTGGAGAACCAGGGGAAGCAGACCGCCCCCACTAACCCAGTACTTCCCCTGCAAAGCCACCTACAAGTCTTTGTCACAACATCACACACCCCCAACACACCAAAGTTCCCCCCCTTTTTTCCCAGGAAGCTGAGGCGGTCCGCCCATCCATCACTCCACTGATATACTTGGGTAAGTCGGGAAGGAAGGCCAGAGCCCCATCAGAGACGGGACGGGGCGCCTCCACCCACCACCATGGTCTCCCCTGTGATGTAGTCGGCGTCTGGGGAGCAAAGGAAGGAAACCATGCCGGAACAGTCTGAGGGGACTCCAAGCCTGAAAGAAAAAAAAAATGGAATAGGACGCTTAGGGTGCAGAGTAAAGAGGACTGCTTCAATTAGGTTCATGGTGGGAGTAGTATGCAGGCCATAGCCCCTCTATATACTGCCTTGGCCAGGCCGCACCTAGAGTACGGTGTGCAGTTCTGGAGGCCTCACTTCAAAAAGGAGGTGGGCAAAATCGAGAGGGTGCAGAAGAGAGCGACGAGGATGATCAGGGGTCTGGAGACTGAGCCCTGAGAGGAAAGGCTTGAGGGCCTTGGGAATGTTCAGTTTGGAGAAGAGGAGATTGAGGGGGGACATGATGGCTCTCTTTAAATATTTGAAAGGCTGTCATTGGGAGGAGGGCAAGGAGCCGTTCCAGTTGGCGGCAGAGGAGAGGACTCGAAGCAACAGGTTTAGATTACATGCAGAAAGGTATCGGCTGGATACTAGGAAACACTTTTTCACGGTCAGAGTGGTTCAAAGGTGGAATCAGCTGCCTAGGGCGGTGGTTAGCTCACCTTCACTGACAGCTTTCAAGAAGAGGCTGGACGAATATTTGTCAGGGATGCTTTAGACTGGTCCTGCACTGGGCAGGGGGTTGGACTGGACTGTCTGTATGGTCTGTATGGCCCCTTCCAACTCTGTGATTCTATGACTCTATCCCAGGAATGGATCCCCCGCGAATGGTGACAGTCTACTGTTAACATGAAAGCTTGAGTCACTGAATGGCACTTGATCCTCATGCATTTATTTTTGTCTCTTGAAATGTCACTTCCAGGAGGTGAAATAGACTGTGTTGATAAGGATGGCAACACACCTCTCCATGTGGCAGCGAGATATGGGCACGAGCTTTTGATTAATACCCTAATAACCAGTGGAGCGGATAGCGCCAGGTAGGTTGCTAACCGAACGCTGCTCATAGCTGTCAAATTATATCGATTTTTGTAAAGGGGGAGGGGCTGCTTTTTTGGGGGGGAGTGCACGAGTTCTGCCATAATGGTATAGCGTTGTGAATATTCTAGCGAGCAGCAGAAGGCCACATGAAACCACATGGATTCGGTGGCTTGCCAGAGAATTGTTGGTTAAAATGACAGGAGGTTGGAATGGTGGATGTTTAAACCTCTTCCTCTGAAACCAGTGTCACCTTTATACCGGTATTTCCTTATCTGATCTGGTTTGGTGTAGTGGTTAAGTGTGCGGACTCTAACCTGGGAGAACCGGGTTTGATTCCCCACTCCTCCACTTGCAGCTGCTGGATGACCTTGGGCAAGCCGTAGTTCTGACAAGAGCTGTCCTTGAAAGAGCAGTTCTCAAAAGAGCTCTCTCAGCCCCGCCCACCTCACAGGGTGTCTATTGTGGGGAGGGGAAGGGAAAGGGGATTGTAAGCCCCTCTGAGACTCCGAGTGAAGGGCGGGGTATAAATCCAATCTCTTCTTCTTCTTCACATGCTGCTGGCGTGACCTTGGGTCAGTCACAAGTTCTGTCAGAGCTGTTCTCTCAAGGGCAGTTCTCGAAAGAGCTCTCTGTTCCCCACCTACCTCACGGGGTGTCTGTTGTGGGGAGGGGGAGGGAAAGGAGATTTGCAAGCCGCTCTGAGACTTTGAGTGAAGGGCAGGGTATAAATTCAACCTCCTCCTCCTCCTCCGCTGTCTCTTTGTATCTTTTGATGGGCTGGATCCAACCAGCTGAAAAAGTGAGGGGGGAGTCCTCTTTGGCCATGGAAAGATCTGTGCTGGCGATCGTAGAACTTGCATGGTGAAAAGCCATGTGGAACGGGGGTTGTAATAAGAAGGGAAGTGCGGCAAGACTGAATGAAAAACCTAATGAGATCCAACCCTATACCTTTGGGAACCGGGTCTTTTTTCTGTTTGTGGTGGAAAATAGGGAATTTTATTTTTCAGATAGTAAATCTTCAGAGATGGGCTGTTCTTACTGCCGTTGAGAATCCTAACCTTAGTAGCCAGCTCCTTTCAAAAGTTTTCACCGAATCCTGTTCTTGGTGCTTTAAGGTAGAAATGTGCATCAGCAAGAGAACGGGGTTCAGTGATTCGGCTTACTCACTCAAAATTTCTATTACATGCCTCGCTGGCCTGTTCATTGATCAAATCAAACACCTCTGCCAATGGGCGGAGGTGCCCAGCGACGTGAGAGGCCCGCTCGGAGATTGTAGTCAGACATCCATGACAGGAGCCAAATTAGCTGCCCGGGACCTAGAATGAAAATTTGAAAATAGATTAGTAAAAAAGATTGCACCTTGATCTACTGGATGGACGTCTGGCAGCAGGGATTTTTTTTGTAGTGGGACGAGCAGGAAATGCCTTTAAAGGACAAGAAACCAAGACAACCATTTTTTAAAGGGGCGAAGAAATAAAGCACTAGATCAACCATTGTGCTTAGCATAGTGGAGAGAAACTAGGGCTTGAGAGAGAGAGAGAGAGAGAGAGAGAGAGAGAGAGAGAGCGCTGGCCCACCTGGTTGTATTCGGACGGAACATGGACATAACAGCGGCAGGGTTCTGTCTGTGCTGCATTCTCTGTTCTGAAATAGTTTTTACTTCCTGCACTGCGGGCTGTGGAAGGTCGGTAGTTCAGCAGTTCGAGACCTGAGTTGCCGCATGATGGAGTGAGCTCCCGTCTCTGGTCCCAGCTCCTGCCAACCTAGCAGTTCGAAAGCAAGAAATTGCAAGTAGATAAATAGGTACCACTTTGGTGGGAAGGGAACAGTGTTCCGTGCGCCTTGGTGTTTAGTCATGCCGGCCACATGACCACGGAAACGTCTTTGGACAGCGCTGGCTCTTCGGCTTGGAAACGGAGAGGAGCACCGCAACCCTAGAGTCGGATTTGACTGGCTTTCGAGCAAGGGAAACTTTACCTTTACCTTTTTTCTCCTGTAGCGCAATCTGCCTCGTTACAGAGGTACCGCTATTGCCGAGGTGGGCTGGGAAATGTCTTGATATTTGGGGGGGGGGATGGAGTCTGAGGAGGGCGGGGTTTGGGGAGGGGAGGGACCTCAGTGGAGTATAATGCCCTTGAGCGGAGTATAATGCTCTAGAGTCCACCCTTGGTACTTGGATGGGAGACCACCACTGCTGTCCAGAGGTGCAGAGGCACGCAGTGGCAAACCACCTGTTTGTCTCTTGGACCGATTTCCCACAAGCTGCCGCAGCGCGCTAACTCTTCCCTTTGCCCCGATCGTAAGTGTCAGTTTCATGCTAAGTGCTGCGCGGCTGCATTTTGCCCCGCGGCTTCACCCGATTCCCCCTGCCTCTGCTCAATCCTCAAAAAACAGGATCACGAAACTGCGGGGGAAATCGGACGAAGCCGTGGGTCAAAATGCGGCCGCGCAGCTTCGCGTGGGAAATTGACCAATGGAAACGGGGCAGAGGGAGGTGTGACGGCGGCGCAGCTCCTTGTGCGAAATCAGCCTCGGTGTTTGCTGTCGTCAAATAAGCCCAGGCGGGTATATCACGATGTTAAGAAACCCTATCGCAACATCCCCATGGGTAGCTCCTTCTACGGCAAGTAGCGTTTTCCTGAACTCTGGAGGACATGAGCTGGATTCCTTCGGCAGTATTGCTAAGGAAGTTCTTCCTTGTTTAGGTGCGGCATCCACGACATGTTCCCCTTACACCTGGCCGCGCTTAACGCTCACTCCGACTGCTGCCGGAAGTTACTGTCATCAGGTAAGCGAATCCCAAAGAGGACGCCAGAACTTGCTTGCTCGAGGTTGTGAATGAGCTGCTTGTGGGTCCTTCTTTTGCTCGTCACCGCGGTGTTTCCTGCTCTTAAAGTCACGCGCCTCCCTGTTCTGCTTAACGCGCATGCTTTGCTCCTTTGTCTCCTGGCATACAACGCTTCGTCTACCGGCATGCGTTTCAGGCGTGTCATCTGTACTGTTCGTGCTTCAAACATGCAGAACGGTTTTCCCCCCCAGTTCCCTGAAGGCCACAGAGAACGAGTCTTGCATTTAAAGGATTTCCCAGAATGAACAGCTTGGGTCCGCTGCGGGATTTCCATGGGCTGAAGGGATTTCCACCGATGGAGAACAACAGCCCTTCCGCACTGTGTGCCCTGGGTGGGTGGAACGGACATAAATCGCCCCCCGCTTTGAAATCCTCTGGCAGATTGAAGCTGAACATTAAATCTTTGGTCCTTTCTCGAAGAGGAAGTTAGGTTTTTTCGCTTGCTGCTTTCACCACAGGAAGTGGTGGCGGCTACAAGCATGGACGGCTTCAAAAGAGAATTAGATAAGCATATGGAGCAGAGGTCCATCAGTGGCTATTAGCCACAAGGTATAGATAGGGGCTCTGGGGCAAGTGATGCTCTGTCTTCTTGGTGCTTGGGGGGGGCAACAGTGGGAGGGCTTCTAATGTCCTGGCCCCACTGGTGGACCTCCTGATGGCACTGGTATTTCTGGCCACTGTGTGACACAGAGTGTTGGACTGGATGGGCCTTTGGCCTGATCCAACATTGGCGTCTCTTATGTTCTTATGTAAATCACACTTTATGACCGCATAAAATACAATCCAGGCTTACCCCTTTCCATAGCAGGCTTCATTGGGTGTCATTCTGCTATCTGGCAGTGTTGGAACGGTCTCTATGTTCTGGAAAAAAATCCGCTGTCCCCACAGAGCTCCCAGAGGGGTGAAAAACCTTCCTGCATGTTTAGAAATGTGTTAGAAACATCATGTACGCATGCTGTTGTGAAGTACAACTAGAAAGCAGAGTGCTTGGTTTAATCCAACATGTCCTTATAGACTGCTTTCTTCTGTGTGGGGCTCTGCTCATGGAACACATGAATCTGCCTTACACTGAAACAAGCCCACGTTCCCTCTGAAGTCCTTTCCGCCCTTGGATCTCATCCCTGGTTTTATCAGAGTTCAACTCGCAACACAATACTCCTTGCAGTTATCCCTGGTTGTAACAGCATCCGTTTATCCCGGGACAAGTGTGGGGCGAAACCCGGGTGACCTCAATGTAATGTGGAAACAAAAAAAAATACCCCGAGATAATGACAGGGGTGAACTTGAGTGTTGTGTAGAATGTAAGTTCGGGGAAGGGGTAGAACCAGGATTTAAGGTCTAGTGCGGAATCACCCTAAGTCAGTTTTGTCTACTCAGACTGGCAGTGGCTCTCCAGGGTCTCCGGCAGAGATCTTTCCCCTCACCTACTGTCTGGCCTTTAGCTTGAGTTGCCAGGGACTTAACCTGGGACCTTCTGCAATGACAAACAGGTACTCTACCACCGACCTGTGGCCCCTTCCCAAAATGGCTCCTAACAGGTGGAGTGTTGTCAGAAATGTAGGCCTAACAGACCAGCTTCTATCACACCTTTACTTATAGGCAGGGCTATTTTTGGGCAGGAACGCACAGGAACGGAGTTCCGGCGGCTGGCTCCCGAGTTGGCCACGCCCAGCAGGAACGCATTAACATAATAGCCCACACCCAACAGCAGGAACTCATTAGGATTGGCTACATTAGGGGTGTGTGGCCTAACATGCAAAGGAGTTCCTGCTACAAAAAAAGACCCTGGGTTTGGACAACAAACAAGGTAAACAGAATAAGAAGCAAAAGGTGGGTGTGGCTGGATAACCACACTTCTGGTAACATGAGGGTGCGGCCTAATGTGCTAATGAGCTGTGCTGTCAGGGGTGTGGCCTAATATGCTAATGAGTTTTTGCTGTTGGGTGTGGCCTATTATGCTAATGAGTTCCTGCTGGGCTTTTTCTACAAAAAGAGCCCTGCTTATAGGCATTCAGTCGCCTTTTTGACCGCGAGAACTGAGGCAACCATGTTGACAGGGGACAGCTGGTGACCTTGGGCCAGCCGTGCCGTCTCAGCCTAACCTACCTCTCGGCATTGTTGAGTGGGTAAGGAGGAAAGAGAACCATGTAGACTGCCCCTGAGTTCAGCAGAAAGAGAGTGGGGTAAAAAAAGTCCGTGGCCGTCCAGCGAGTGTCATGATTGGAACGGGATTTGAACCCGCGTCTCCTCTATGTCTCCACGGCATTCCCCAGCCATTATTTTCTCTCTCATACACATACAAATCCAAGATTCAACATGCACGATTAGAGCCCTGACTTGGATAGCCCAGGCAAGCCCAGCCTCGTCAGATCTCGGAAGCTACGTAGGTTTGACTCTGGAAAGTATTTGGATGGGAGACCTCCAAGGAATACCGGAGGCGGGTGGCGGGGGCAGACTATACTCAGCCAGCTCTCTGAAATATTCTCCAGGCCCCCAGTAGGGGTCAGTCACCAGAGGTCGCCGTGACTTCCAGGTTACACACACACATGCACATATGAAAAAAAAACACACACACCCCAAGCATGATTAGAGACGAGGTGGTGAGCATGTTGCATATTTCAAAATAAAGGCTTATCGGTTTACGCATTGCAAAGCTGTAGCTTTTCCTTCCTTCAGGACCCGTACAGATGATAGTTTTTTTCAGGACAGCAGCAGCAACGTCCCCTGGCCAGGTTTTAGCCTTGGTCTGCAACCCAAGAGTGATTTATGACAGAAAAGTAATGGGGGGTGGTTGAAGGCAGGGGATGCTCCAGTGGCCTTAGCCTTGAGCTGCAAAGAACGCAACCGCCCATTCCTAGGGGCCTACGCTCTTGCTGGTTTGATGTGTATGCACACACACACTAGGGTTGCCAAGTCCCCCCGGGGGGCGGGAAAACCCCCACCCGAGAGGCCCATTCCCCGCTGGCATGAATTGGGCTGCCGGGGGAGGGGACCCTACCCCCAAAGTGCATGACGTGCCCGGCATGAACATATCACCCAGAGGTGACACAATCGCATCGGGAACGTTGCGGGGGGACGCTCAATCATCCGAGGGAAAACTCTATGGTTTTCCCTCGGATGATTGTGGCCCCGCCCCCAACGTGCACTACATGATCGCGTCACTTCCGGGTGACGTGATAGCGGCACGCACGTGAAGCTCGCACGCCAGGAGGCTCCCGGGGACGTCCGGGACTCCCCCCGCTATTCCGAAGGTAGAACTTGGCAACCCTAACACACACATTATTTAAAGAAGACTAAAAACTGATTTTGTCAATAGAAGGGCATTACTGTTGTGGATGGGGTACTTAAACTCCCCCCTCCCCTTCGGCTTTGCGCAAGAGAAAGATGGTAGTGGTAGTATAGAGGTAGGCCCCCACCACCACCACAACTGGATTCATTTTATTACACAGGGTCACCTGACTAGGGTTACCATGCCTGGTAACCATGGGAGCTTTGGGGGCAGGAACACGGGGTGTGTGTGCGTGATGTTGTGTTCACTGGAATATCACTTCCATGGAAAAACCTGGAAGTGAAGTAAGTAGCTCTAGGAATCGCCTGAAACTCGATGGTGCAACTCTATGGTAGGGTACCTCTATGAAACCATAGACTTTCTAGCCATTCCTAGAACTACCCTACCATAGAGTTTCACCATAGAGTTTCCAGAAATTCCTAGGGTTACCTTGTGTGACTTCTGGGTTCCTTGGAAGTGACGTTCTGACACACAATGTGGCAGCCCTTCTGACCCAGCAGTTTTTTAAGGTGGGGTGGCATTGAGCTTAAACAATTGCAAACAATTGCAAAACCTTTAAAAAGAGTTCCTTAGGCATGGGGGGTACCTTCATCTGAGATGACTTCGTGACTACTGTCACATGGGAACATATGAGGACATAAGAAACTGCCTGGTACTGAACCAGACCCTGGGTCCATCAAAGTCAGTATTGTCTACTCAGACTGGCAGCCGCTCTCCAGGGTCTCAGGCAGAGGACTTTCACATCAACTTCTGCCAGATCCTTTAACCGGAGATGCCAGGGATTGAACCTGGGACCTTCTGCATGCCGAGCAGATGCTCTACCAGTGAGCCGCTCTCCCTGTCCAATAGATGCCAGTGACAGTTGCATAAAACCATCCTCTTGCTAACACAGTGGCATTGGTTGAAGTACAAAGAGGAGACGGCTTCTCATTTTAGCAGGTACTTTCTGGGGGGAAAATGGCTTCCCAAAGAGAGAAGTGTGACCAAAGCAAAGTGCGCACCTACATCACGCATAAAAGGCAGGCAGGAGTGCTTCTGCATCTCTGAAAACGTGTCATCTGTGCTAGCCCTCGGGGAAACCGCCACCGCCATTTTCTTCGTTCCCGCCATTTCCCACAGAGGACCCAACCAACCCTCCGCTGTGGATTTTGCCGTGCTCTTGCCACAGTGAACGTTATTCGCTTTCGTTTAAAAAACCCAACCATTCGCATTTTCCTCGAAAGTCCTTCTTTCTCCCTCCGGCACGAAATGTTATCAATAAATAAAAATCCCATGTGCTGCATGCTGAGGTAATCTCTGTGCCTCCCTTGCTCTCCTCGGCTGCGCTTTCTGGCTTGACGCCCTGCTGTCACGGCTCTTTCTCTCGATTGCAATCTGCCTCATAAATGCCTGCCGCATGATTTACGTAGTTATATAGCATGAGGCCGAATGTGGAAATAGATTCTTTTCTGCCTTTACCGGTCTTCTCTGTGTGGCTGGCGAGCTTGAACGGCCCCTCTCCGTTTCCATGACGACCCCCTCGCCCGACTACAGTAATGTCTTCCTTCTGTTTGTTTGAGGTTTTTTCCCCTGACTAACTGATTTTTCTGTCTCTGCAATGTTTCTTGCGGCTTAACTAGGACAAAAGTATAGCGTAGTGTCCTTGTTTAGTAATGAGCACGTGCTGTCTGCAGGCTTTGAAATAGACACCCCAGATAAATTTGGAAGGACCTGCCTCCATGCGGCCGCTGCCGGAGGGTGAGTAATCTTGAGACCGTACACGGCGAGGTTATGTTTGATTCAGTCCTGTGGTCTCTCCGCAGAAGG